AAAAAAAGTATGTTATGCAGAATAACAATGCAAACCACTTTTGCCTCAGAGTCATGTCAGAATTCCTAACCAAACTTGAGTTAAAAGTCAAACACTATAAAAAATCTTTAAAAAATACTTAAAAAACTAATAAAAGGTAATGAATTATTAATAATTAAAAAATTGGGGTTGTCTAATAAATTGTTATAGAGAGAGAGCATGTCCGGACCCCCCAAAAAAGCATAAATGGGCCTGAAAAACCCCCAAAACAATTTTGGGGGCTTGGCTCCTCAATGGGGAAGGGTCCTGGACCGTTTTTTTCTTCTTTTTTTTTTCTCGAAATTCCAGACCGGACGTCTGGAGTTTGGAGTGAATCCAGACCGTCTGGACGGCGGTCGGGACGTCCGGATCGTAGCCATGGTGAAAACAATGCCACGCCAATTCGTCCTATAAACCATTTTTGCTGCTTTTTGCTGCTGTATCACATGTCCGCCAACGGGAAACGTACCCCGACTTCAGCGATTTTTCCCGTCTAACATAATACCCCAAGAAGTCTGAAAATAGGAGGGTGTGTAGATTTCGTCGTTATCTTTCCAGGGAAAATATTTAAGAAATTAAAAAAAATGATTTCAACTGCAAAAAAAATACAGCGGTTCGATGCATGTACATTTTTGCCGCTTGCCGGCTCTCCCCACTGTGCTACCAGTCCCCCCAAATTTTGGACGGCGGGGGCAGTGCTGCTTTCACTATTTATTAGGAAAAATAAATAAATTCATGGGCACTTCTTAGGGGGTCTGGGTTTTCTGTATGGTAACGCATGTTCGTCGGAGTTTCACTGACTCATCAGGAGGCTGAACGCTAACAACTTTTAATTTCGAGGTTGATCAACGTGGATGGTGGTTGACTCAGTGGTTAGAGCACCGGTTGGAAATGCGTATTGTGGTATGAGGTTGCGGGTTCAAAACTCCGCTGCCTCGCGCACGTACACCGGCAGCGCTTTCATAGCGCACAAGCCATTCACACACTCCCCCTTGGGTTGACGCAAGGTAATTATTACGGACGCTGCCTGCGCACCACCCAAGGGGTTTAGTCCATGGTTGCAGTATGCTGGTAGCAGGGCCTTGGGGGAGGGCTGTTTGCGTGGTTGGCCTTGGGGTGGTCCGACGAGTGTCTGTGTGTGTGGGTGTTGTGGGTTGTGTGTAGTGTGTGGTCCAGTGATCTCTGGGTCATGTCTCGTGTACTCACCATGGGCGGGGTAGAGGAGGTAGGCTGGGTAGAGGTCTTAGGTCTAGATTAGGTTAGGTAGGAATTTGTGTACAGATTGTGGGCTTGTCTATGTACCGCCTCGTTTGCATGCACTGCTCTGTGGATGTGTCATGGGTGTGTCTGGGTACTCTGGTAGTTTCCCGGCCTCATGGTACAGCTGCGAGAGTCCATACTTACATTGTACAGTCCTGGTTCCTGTCTGGCTCCGCTCTCTACACCCTTCTTGAGTAGTAGTAAGGATTGGGTGTTAGGCATATACGATTTGGGAGGGCGGGCCCCATGTCTATCTTACGATGCTTGCAGGCTGAGCTTCATCCGGGCTGGTACCTATCTGCGTTCCCATTGAGGGGGTCAATTGGGGCGTGAATCTGGGGAAGGATTTCTGGGTAGGGGTCTCATCTTAGGCAGGGGAGGGTGGGTCGTCGCATTGATAGTAGAAGGGTGGTAGGCACCCATAGAGTCTGCTAGATGTGATACAGGTGGGGAATGACCACATATCCGCTCCGTGACCCCTCCTGTCCTGTGTCCAGGTCGCCCTCGAGAATTCGGGGTGTCCCTATGGTAGCGCCCGGGGAACACTCATCTGAGACCCTTGGAAGGCGCAGGTTGGTGTAGGTCTAAGGTCTAGAGACAGATCTGGGGCGCACTGCTGTAGAGCTCGACTTGTGATCTGATTAGGATAACAAAAAAAAGATCTGATTAGGATAACAAAAAAAAGACTTGACGAATGATGCCCCCGGGTGGAGACTGTCCTTGGGGCTGTCACAAGCCAACTGATCTCCCCACTGATCGAGTACAACGACAGGCACCCCCCGAGGCCTAGCATCCAGCCTCTACTACGATCTGGACTTTTAAGAAAAAAAAGAAAAAGATGTTGATGAAATACAGACCAGGTGCTGAGTTCGAGCTCCACTGGAAGCAGATGAGTAAAATTACGACAATTTACAGAACTACCCAGGGCCTGTCAAATTCGATGATGATAACTCAAGGCTGTCAAAAAAAAAAAAAAAAAAAAAAAGGCAGCACAGGCAAGAGGAAAGACTGTCCATCAAAGACAGCGACTGCATGAGAATGATGAGAAGAAGATACAGCAAGAAATCTGCACCGTTACGCACGCAAAAGAACAATGTAAAGTTGAAGTACTCCTCGACAAGTTCACACAGACAGGTCACCCTCGGCGCGTTTCGTCTACCCCACAGGCAGACTCATCAGGAGGAATCAACCAGGTAGTACTCCGCACTGCTCAACGGAGGTCATTCCTTATGCCTTGCCTCCTTCATAGTTACCCAACTCCTACTCGTACCCCGACCCGTGTCATCGCAACACACCGCACCATCCGAAATCCAATCAAAGCACAAAGAAGATCCCAACCAAATCGATGGTGTCACTGAAAAGAACGTTCGCGAAGAACTGAAAGCCCGCTGGCAAAACCGAGAAGCAGCCATCATGATGCTAACGCTGTATCCGCTGATGACCAAAGTGCCTGCACAAGACTAAAGTCAAAGACGAGGCACAAAAAAATACGAGAAAACACTCCCACGTAGTCGCTTCAAGATGGCTGCTCCTCCGACGAAGACGAGGAGCGCATCAGCTCGTTCGTCGTAGCTATGCCGAAGGGACAGGTCAATTGGAAGTGAGGGAGAGCGGGCATCACAGCTCATCAATCGTACACTGACTACCCATTCCATTGGCGTCGCCTCTGATACGATCAACTGCACGGGCACGTTCCACAGAAACGTGCGTAAGTCAGAGGCAGGATACCCACTGGCCGAGGTATACAGCGATGAGGGATCGGAGCAAGGAGGCTCAGAAAGAGCGCTGTCCAGTAGAGTACCCAAAAACCGCCAAAGGCCAGGGTGTCCCCAGTTCCAAGTGCCACAGAAAATGTGGCCCCCGCCGCCAACTTACCAGCAGAAAAATGCATCGACGTGGCCGGAATCCTGGAGTATAAAACCCGAAAAATAGAGAAACCACACTGCCGGGTCTGGTAGAGTAATTTCAAACTGTTCCAGGTCAGGTCCCAAAAAAAATTGAGCCCACTAAAGCTGCGGCGGGAATTGAAAAAGAAACCAAATGCCTGAAATATGAAGAAAGAACCTGTACCAAAAGATTGCTAGATTTGCTACATCCATGGAAACTAGAAGTTGGCGGCGGAAAAACATCCACATGCGTATCCAACCGCCGTTAAGAGTAGGCAACTACGGGGGCGCCTACCCGACATCGGTCCACCCCTGAAACCAACCCGGCAGCCAAAGGGGACCAGGTTCAAAAAATGACCGTTCAACAAAACAGCACCACACGCAGAAGACTTGGAACAGCCTGAACTAAAATACGAGGTCTTCCAAAAAGAAAAAAGAAAAAAAAGAAAAAGGAGGTCCTGGAGGGCCTGCTTGGCAACACAGGCAAGATTTGTTCGGTAGGCGAAATGACATCATGACAGTCAAGTTGATGAAGCATATGACATCATGCTAATTTTTTTATGGGTAGGAGAAAGGACATCAGGACACTCAAGTTGAATCATTTTGAATGTAGAAACTGAGAGCATATGAGAGCCTCTTTAGTGTCAAACCTCAGAGGAGTGAGTAATGGCACCCAATGTACTACAACCGCAAAAAAAAAAAAAAAACTTCAGCACAAAAAGACTTAGCAGAAAGTGAAAGAGTGTAAGATCCAGCGGCCTAGCTGAGTTGGTAAGGCACGCAAGTGGCATTCAGGAGGTCTCGGGTTCAATCCCCATTGGCCTCATGCACCTTCCTGGGCAAGCTTGGTGCCCGCCACCCACTCCCTTCGAGTGGCATTGAGCAGAAACTGCTGATGTTCATAGGGGGAGGGGACCGGAGGGGAGGCACAGTGACTGGCCCATCGAAGAAGCTCGGTTCTGATGCTACCGGCTGACCCCTGGCCGGTATCGCCCACCTGCTGTAGCAGGTATCGCACCTGCTGGTGGGTGCAGCTCCCGCATGTTCCCTCGTTGGAGGCTTGAGCACGGATGTGGCTGCTACCCCCGTAATACTATAATGACAATAAAAAAGCCCTGAAAGGCCGTCCTGTCCAGATTTGACAGGTAATGACAATAAAAAAGCCCTGAAAGGCCGTCCTGTCCAGATTTGACAGGTAATTGAATTGGTTGGGCTTAAAGAATTAGCCTTCAAAAAAAATAAAAAAAACAAAAGAGCGTAAGAGTGCTGTTTGCTGCCAAACGAAGCAATATTTGTCCAAACTGCAGAACTTTAAGACCACCCATACTAGGCCATTCATTTTCAAGATTGTGTGGCGGGGGCCTGGTTCTGCTGGTGGGTGCAGCTCCCGCATGTTCCCTCGTTGGAGGCTTGAGCACGGATGTGGCTGCTACCCCCGTAATACTATAATGACAATAAAAAAGGCCTGAAAGGCCGTCCTGTCCAGATTTGACAGGTAATTGAATTGGTTGGGCTTAAAGAATTAGCCTTCAAAAAAAAAAAAAAAAAAAAAAGAGCGTAAGAGTGCTGTTTGCTGCCAAACGAAGCAATATTTGTCCAAACTGCAGAACTTTAAGACCACCCATACTAGGCCATTCATTTTAAAGATTGTGCGGCGGGGGCCTGGTTAGGCGCGTGTTTATCTCTGTTTTCTGTCTTTGAAGATTTTGCAGCAGGGGCTTGGTTAGGCATGTGTCGATCTCGGTCTTCTGTCTAAGCACATAGGGATTGCCTGTTAAACCACTGGTCTTCTGTCTTAGCAAAGGGAATGAAGGGTACGTTTGGGGGAAACGATATCTTTGTGGCTGAGTGGAGATCAAAGGCTGAGATTTGGTTGGTTAAATGTGAAATGTGAGACAGAGTATAACCAGAGGGGATCAGAAGTTCTTTGGGAAATAGGATAAAAACTTAAGAAAGGGAAATGCGGATGTGTGCGCAATGCCGTGCACAATACGAAAGAATAATGATATAGGAAGGTGCCATACGATTAGACCTTCCTTTGCGGAACCTTTGAAGAAGGCCAGCAGTCGGAATGCCAGGGCACTAAATCACCTGCTGTTTCTGCCACCGAAGTCTTTGCAATGTTTGCATTCTCTTTTTTTTTTTTTTTTTTTTTTGTAAGGTTGTGAGGGGTGTCGGGGACACTGTGAGGAGAGGATGTGCGCCGGGAGGCTGGAGCCGCTGGATGCACCAAGTCCAGCCTCCTGTCGGTGCAGTGAACCCACTCACACACAGAGAGAACACTCAAGCACAGAGCCCACAGCCCGGACCGCACAGACAGGGAGGTATCCAGGTGGGGAGGGTCCTAGGGGGCGACCGAGCGCCCATCTCGGTCAATGTCTTTGCGTTCTACTAGCCTGTTGAACCACCAGTACTTGGCCCATACATCGGCCGTGGCCGTTTCCCGTTAACGCACCGCGACCTGCGCGCTTCGGGGTACCAGACCACAATGGCTGGAGGCGCCAGCCAAAAGAAAAGAAAAATGCCAAGGTGGCAGCTCGGCAAAACTTGGGGCGCAGGTGGTTTTGAGGCTCGGCATCGGTGGCCGGGCCAAGTACTGGTGGTTTAAAAAGCAGAATAGGTGAGTATCAACAAATGGGTGGAGAGGAAAGGGTGAGGAAAACGATATCCTTTTTCAGGTCCATTGATTTGGGCTCCTTTCCATCCACCACCATATCTGAATCTCAGTGCTGATGCGGTCAGGTACGGCTTATCTGCCGGACTGGCGTTGTGCGATGTTGTCTCTCACTCGTCGTTGTTTCTGTGCTTTGGCTGTGTGAGGCAGTTTGGTCCCCTTGCCACGTGGACGTATGGAAAACAGCGAGGTATAACTCTGAACCATCTGGTTAGGTGGTGGAGCACCCGGCCGGTTGAGCTGGCAGGTTTGAACCTTAAGGTGCGTTCCTCCCTCCCTCTCTTTCCTTCCCTCGTCCCTTGCCTCCCCTCACCTCCCCCTACCCCTTCCCCTCAATCCGCCCCATTGATACCTTCAAGCAGGTCACAAGTGGTTAACAGGTACCCGCACTTTTCAGCCCCAGGTTGACCCCTCCCCAACCCTGAAAAGTGCATTTGGTGATGATTTTTTTCAGTTTTTGTTTCCTTTTTTAGGCCTCTGTTAACCATCTCTCGTCTTTCTGAATACGCTCATGATAATGGGCCATTATGGCATTGGGGAGAAGAGGGTAGTACGACAGTCAGGAACCGACTAGAAGATATGTCAGCAACAGAACACCCGCCAGAACCCACTACTAGATTAGTGTGTCAGGAACACCATAACCACTAGAACCCACAAGACTATTGTGTCAGGAAACCATGCCTGCCCCCGATAATGGGGCATTATGACATTGGGGGGGAGAGAGTAGTACAGGAACCCACTAGAAGATATGTCAGCAAGAGAACTCCCACAAGAACCCTCTACTAGACTAGTGTGTCAGGAACATAATACCCATTAGAACCCACTAGACCCTCCCCCACACCCCCTCCTTCCCCGTCTTGACGCCATCCACACTATGAACCTCCTATCTCAACTCAGAGACAAAGAAGGGCCACACCAAAACATTGTGCAAGAGCAAGTGACGGCAGAGTAGCTCAGACAACATTTTTGGGCTGATTACGTGCAATTGAAGTCCTGAGGGAAACTGGTAGAATACACCCACCTGAAAACCTATTGGGCCGCTTACGTGCAAAGCCTTCGGGTTGGCTACCACACACCCAATTTCCCCCCTATGGGTTTGAAGTCCTACGCAGTTCAGTCCATCTGCCTGGGCCTCATCCTATGGGACTACGAACCGGGCGCTGTTTTTGCACCAGATTCATGAACCGGTAGGCCCACTTTTTCACTGGACCTTGCTGGGCCTCTTCGTACCGGACCATTACACCTCCCTTGGTCTCTGTCTGCAGGACTACGAACCTGGCACTCTCTTTGCACCAGATTCATGATCCGCTAGGCGCATTGGCCACGGCGCAAAGGCGTGTAGTACCCAGTGGCAGAAGTCCGGGCATGTAGCACCCAACCCGAAGACTTTGGGCGTAAACAGCCCAATAGGTTTTCAGGTGGGCATATTCTCAAAAAGGGAAAATAAAAATAAAAATGGGTTTTCACAACTTTTCAGGCAGGCATATTCTTTTCTTTGTTTTTCTTTTTTTTTCTTCTTTAAAAAACCCAGGTTGTTGTAGAGGCTGGTCACCAGGGGCCAAGTCCCACTAGCATGAGTTTGGTTTTCATTCCTATATGTGCAGTGCGGCGGGGGGTGGCACCGTGTGACACCATTTCAAAGCATTTTTTAGCATTTCTGAAAACCATGTAGAATTGCAAAAGAAACAAACAAACAAAAAAGCCCTGTGGAAAGGTCCTGCAATGATGACAATCTGCCAGGAGAAGGGGACAACAACTGCGGGCCCTGTGTGGCTCGGTGCGGCCCATAGGGACAGGATTTTCAAAACAGACGGTAATGACTTGTCCTCCTGACACAATGGCATAGCGGGCAGTGTTCGGCATAAAGTGCAGGGCTGAGCTTGCAGGGTGCCAGGGCTGACTCTGTTTGCGAAAGTTATACAAAGCCTGGCCGTACAGAGCTCTTCTGCCTGCATAGGCACGTTTGATACATTCACAGTCACAGACCGCGTCGGGAACGTGAATTTTTGCATTTTGTGGGGAGATGAAGAGTACCTTAGGGGTACAGTGAGCCTTATCTGTGGACGTGCGAGGGAGTGCCTCCTCAAACGTCGCCTCGCCGACCCACTACACCGCATATGTCAATGACGTGAAACTGGAGTATGTGAATATATATTTACATGTTTGAGTCGTGGACATGTGTGTAGCGTGGTGTGCAGTTCACGCGACTCCACTGAACCGCAATTGCATTGAACACAGGCAGGTTCATTTTCATGCGGCAAACAGTTGCTGTCAGTTTCCGTAACTGGACTCGTGGGCACGTGTGGGAGCAATGCGGTAGCGTGTTTTTTTTTGGTGTGTGTGTGTGTGTGTTAAATCACGATACAAAACTGCCGCAAGCAAGTCACGGCATGTTGCGTCACGGAACCATGCGGAATGGCAGGAGTACGTGGGCAAAATGCCACAGCCATGGACCTCGAGAAGCCAGTCAACCAGGGGATGGAGGGAAGGAGCCATTACACAGCATCATTCGTGGGGGCACAGGGCTTCCTTAGAAGTTCACACAATCGACACCAGGGGGAAGGGTCCCATGGACAGCCAAGAATTTCAGGCATTGTAGTCAGATGCATAATGAGGACAGGAGCAGGGAGAAATGGGGAAGGGAGCAGAGGGGAGCTTCTCAGATTCACAACGTGCTGAGGGACATCCATATTAAAAAATGGGAGGAGGGGGAGAGGAGAAGAGGCGTTGGGAGCAATCCACACAACTAGCAGCTCCCACAACAATCCTTATAATATGATCAGAGCGTTAATCGGTAGAGACCTCAACAGATACCCACACCAATCAAATGGAAGGCCGAACTACAGCATTTTTCGTGTCATTCCCGGATCATGAACATAATTGCCTTCGTACGAACTGGACCTTTGACAACCCGTTCCCTTTCAAGCACATTGTTCAAAGATGAAATTGCTCAGACATAGGGGTCATTCATAACGAAGCATGCTTTGCGGCACTTTACATGAGTCTGAGGGGAGCTTGCAATAGAGGAATAGATTCCGTTCGAAAAGGGGCCTTCAGCCCCCAAACAAGAAACCATCCCGTCATTTTCCCAAAAGATAACGTCATGCATAAAGCAAGGGGCAAAACCAGAGAAGAATCGATTACAAAAAAGCCTCAAGGAGAAGCCGCCAAAGCCGGACCCAAAGAACTACAACAGTCGTTAGCGGAAAATTATGATCTCCTCAAAAAAGCCCCGCACAGTTACAGTACTATATCCCTTTTTGAGAGAGCACCATAACGAAGCACTACGTACGCCACTTCGGTCCACGTCACCACCCAGCATTAGTGCCAGACTCAACCATCGTTTACCCTCGAGGTGGCCGTATGGGATGCGTGCGGACGTTATGTCATGAGCTCATTAGCAGCCCTCCATCAGATCGGGCCACGAGGTGCATAAAGCGGTCGGACCAAGGCCTCAGATGACACCAGACAGGTTCAAAAGCCGAAGGTCCGGCGATCGCAATACTCGCGTCGTGCGCCTGGATAACTCAAGAAGTTAGGACAGCTTTGCCGCCCAGTCATCACCAGACCAACCTAATTGCCGGGGAATCATAGCGCAGGGCCTCGTGACCAAGCAGTGCCTGGGGCAGAACCACCATCGCCCCCCCTTTTTTAATGAAATAGGAAATTCACCCACCGAATTCCCAAGCAAAAACAACGCCAATCGCTCAGGTACTCGACTACTTCAGCGCACCTTGTCCTAGACTGGTCGAGGCCGTACTACCCCGGTTCCCGTACTACCCATCCACCCACACGACTACTAGACAAGCCACCCGCACCTCATCAAGCACGATCATCGTAGAATCGTTCCCGCCATTTCGTTACCGACGGGACGGCTAGGCAAGTCAAGCAAGTAAGATCATCCGTCAGGCCAATCCCCATCACCCCGCCGTCCGTGGCCTCGTCTCAGCAGAGCTGATGACAGCAGAGAGTCCCCATCACCCATCACTACCCTCGTCACCACACCGCCAGCCTCGCCATCACTTTCAAATCGAAGACCCGTAGCGACCGAAGAATCCTCAACCGTGAGTACCGACAAACAGCTCCCGTCGAGGCACAAGGTGACAACGCAGATTTATAGGCGATTGACAGCTCAGCATCACTCAGAAGGCCTGAGTCAAGCGGCGACACCAATCAAACGGGGCAGCCCCATACATACCGGCTCGCCCATCCTACACCATGCCTACAGGCAACAACTCCAGACCGACCCATCCCATCGGCCCACCACCGCTCTCATCATAGTGCCAATAGCGACTCCATCACTTCCGAACAAAAGACCAGCAGTAGCAGAAGAATCGCCAAAAAACACACCATCCCGTCATTACCCCGAAAGATAACGTCACGGGTTAAGCAAGGGGCAAACTCGAGAAGAATCAACCAAGCCTCAAAAGAGTCGCCAAAGTTGGAACCAAAGAGCTACAACAGTCGTTAGCGAAAAATTACGATCTTCAAAAAATCCTTGCATAGTTAGAGTACAATAACCCCTTCGAGAGAGCAGCACAACAAAGCACTACGGACGCCCCTTCAGCCCACGTCACCACCGAGTATTAGTCCCAGGATCAACCATCGTAGAATCATTCCTGCCCTTTCGTTACCAACAGGATGGCTTGGCAAGTCAGGTAAGATCGTCCGTCATGCCAATCCCATCACGTCGTCGTCTGTGGCCTCGCCTCAGCAGAGCTCTTGACAGCAGAGAGTCCCCATCACCCACCACTGCCCCCTTTCATAACGCCATCAGTCTCGTCATCACTTTCGAGGAGAAGACCCGCAGCGATCGAAGAATGCCCAACCTTGAGTAGCGGCAAACAGCTCCCGTCAAGGCACAAGATAATAACACAGAGTTATATGCGATTGATAGCTCAACACCGCTCCGAAGGCCTAACACAAGCGGTGACACCAATCAGACGGGGCAGCCCCCTTCATACCAGCTTGCTCATCCCACACCCTGCCTACAGGCAACAACTCCAGGCTTACCATCCCATCGGCCCATCACCTCTCTCACCATACTGCGAATAGCGACTCCATCATTCCCGAACAGAGGACCAGCAGTAGCAGAAGAATCGCCAACACCGAGTCCCGGCATCCAGCTCCTATCCTAGACAAATGATAATAGCGCAAATATATTCGTGGTAGAAAGCTCCGCATCACCAGGGAGGTCGGGCGAGTAGATTAACTCCGTATTACGCGGTGAAAGACTGCATTCCAAACCTGCCCTACTATCA